ATAATCTAAAGACATGAGGAAAAAGAAAGACAAGAGGACCTTACGTAACTGGAAAAAGAGGAAAGAATCCACAGGACTTGGAAGAGGGTCAGAATATCAGTCTACATAATCCCTTGGCATTTTAAATAACTCAAAATGCAAATCCTCCAAGCCATTTCTCGGTTTGGCTATGCTTTCCTCCACCCACCAGCATCCCAAAGCTGCCTGCTCTAGGACGGACAAGTCAGTTTTGTTCTGTTTATGAACTAGCTGTTTGGTCACCAGGATCACCATGCAGCTGTTAGCTCAGGCTGGTCTGAGGCAGCTCCCTGGGGAGGAAAGCAGATGCAGCTCGCACCACTGCTTGTCTAGGACAATGGTCAAAAAACTCAGGGACATTCCTAGGAGTATCTCCATAGGCCAATGTCCAGTATATCCCCAGAGGGACAAACACCAGAAGTTCTCAACTTCTAAGAGAGTTTAAGAGCAAAACAAGTCTCCTTCACACGTAACATCCAGGCCATACAAGAAGAGTAAAGTAGTTGAGAGTCAAGTTCATCACATTTAAATATATATAAATATACACCCTACATCTACCTATATTTAAATATATACTCTACATATGAAAGGCCAAAATGAAAGATAGGAGAGGTCACCTATTTCAAAATCCTTTTCATAGATGATGGTAAATTTTGCAATCCCAAATACAAATCAAATAGGAGGCTAAGGGAACAGATAGCCAAGCATTGATAAATATTCGGAGTGAAAAACTGTTTCTACCACTATCTATGCATGAGAATTAAAGCCTCCCCTCATGAATGTGGGCCTCTCCCAGTCTATTTGCTGCATATGACATATTTGGAGGAGGAGGATGTTCCTAACAGTTTTTTCCATCAAAAGCGGTTATTCTCTGTGTCTTTGATCTCCTTTTTTTGCTTCTACCATTCAAGCTGTAAGAGCCTACAGGCTGCACTGGCTGCCTGCCCCTTGCTCAGGGGTCTATACACCTCTCCTGCTGACTCCAAGGTTTTTTGCAAGTTCCCTTCACTCATTCACTCCCCACTAGGAATCTTCAAAATCTAGTTTATAAAGTTTTTGCCCTATCTCCACTTGGTCATTAAAGCCTTTCTTTTCCTCTTTCCATTTTCCATTTGAATATTATCAATTTTTGACCCTCTAGAATCAATTGAATTGATTTCATTCCAATATTGCAAGTTGCAGATACAAGTTTTAATCTAGCTTCTATTCATGATCACATTAGGGAGAGCATCTCTCCCACCAACATCTTCCTGTCATAGACATACAATAAAACATAATGGTTTCAGCAGCAGAGATTTAGGTTCGAATCTCATCCCAAACACTTACTAATGCAGATTTAGTCAAAATACTTCCATTGTATAAATCCCAATGGAAATAACAGTGTCTACCTCAAAGTGTTGCTGGATTACAGGAGAGAATTCTCACAAAGGTATTGCATAAGACCTAATGCATTCAATGTCAACCAGTATTTTTATTCTGAAACATACTAGTCTCCTGTGTCAAAACGTTGTCCATCAAATGAGATTAAGAAAAAACAGAAGCCAGAACCCTCCTGTACTTTTTTAGAGACCAACTTCCAGATCAGCACTTTTCAAATTTTGTGTTAGTGAAAGAAATCTGTTTAACAAGACATAGTGCAAATTTTTTAACTGTAATAGTATTTTTGAATGGAAAGCAATTGTCCAACAAATATATATGTTTATGCATGTATGTACTGGAATACAATGTAAAGCATCTTTTTACTGTAGGTCACAGTTTGAAAACTGTCTTTGTAGGCTGACCCAGAGTTATTAAATACATTCTTTGGTAATGATATGTATGTACTATTTAAGAAAGACATTACTGCCCCCTGCTGGAGCTCTTGATTTCTCATAGAGAGGGATACTCCATTTGCCTGCCTTCTCAATCGTTACCCATGTGACTTCAGTCATCCTCCCCACACCTATCCTGTCTGAAACTCACCTGAGAAGGACTCATTCCTTGATCAACCTTGATGCCCTGGACAATGAATCAGAAGCAGCCCCAAAAGAGGGAGCTGGAGATCTTACCTTTAAATAATTTCAAAAGCAAAGCCTCCCTCCCTCCCATTTGCATACTAGTGAGAAACTAAGCTGAGCCACACCATGTGGAGTCTCAGCCACACATGTTATTCTTGGTCCCACCTCTGACCCGGCAGATGGGCAGAGTCCACACCCTTGAAGCTGCCATCACCTGCCTCTGGTTCCCTGGAGAGAAGACACCCATCGGAAGAATGTGAACCAACTGCAAGTTCTCAGAACTCAGATTTCCAACAGAGTGGACTCTGTCCACTAAGCCTTCTGAGTTCTAAAATATTGATTAATGTGAGGAGAACAGGTAGGTACATACTGGGAAAGACATGCCCTCCCACCCAAGAGGTAATATGGCCAAGGTAAAGGTCCAAGAGCAAAGACCACCCCCAACATCCATGCCTGCACAGGAAGGAGCAAAGGCAGATATGCTAAGACTACTTAATTCTGCTTCCTTGTGACACTACCACAAATTGAGTGCTCACACCAAGCCATCCACACACATTGTCTCAATTAAAACTCTAAGCAAAGGAATAATTGAGGCTTAAAGAGATAAAGCAACTTGCTCAGGTCCCTCAGGGAGGTCTGCTTCAGACCCACGTGTTTCTGAATGCAGGACCAGACTCCCAGCCAAGGCTGGGGGCTGGAGGCTGGCTACAAGTTCTCCACATCAAGGTTTTCTCCAGAAAGAAACAGAATGTGAAACTGAATGGCAAAGTAGAAGATAAAGCCTAAAATAAAAAAGTTAAGTTTAAAGCTTAACTTCAAAACAAACAGACCGATGGGTGGAGTCGTAATGTGCATTTTTTAGAACACAAAAATTAACTTTGAAAAACAGCCTCATTATGTTGAGTCCTGGATTAAGTTTCAATCTTCCATGAACAAAGGATTGTCCCCAAAGATAGATTTGCTTCGGCCATTTCCTTCTGTATAAAATTAAAAATTAAAAATTAAAAAATAAATCTTTTTCAGACCATCTAGTGTTTACCTTCTACATCAGGCACTGTATGTACTTGGAACTTTTACGTGTTCTATCTGACATACGCTTGACAATGCTTGGTTCAATGAGAAATAGAATCTTACCCAGGGATGCCTGACTCCAAAATATGTTCCCTTGCTGCCACCTGGTGAGTACAGGACCCATTTCCTTGACTTTCTTCCTCTTTGGCGCTTGCCCACACAACTTAATAAGAGCAACTATCAAAATGAAGAAGGCCCAACCTTCAAGGTCATGAAAGGACTGAGAAAAGAATAAGAAAATGTTACAGATCTGAGCTGGCTAGGGAAACATGGTGACCTATGCAATGCGATACCCTAGGCTGGATCCTGGGTGAGAAAAGGGAATTAGTAGGGACAAGGGTGAGATTCAAATAAGGGCTGAAGTGCCTATTGCAACATCCAGGTCCTAATGGGCCTCCCATCTCCCCTTCTGCTGTCCTTAATCCCTTCTCAGGCTGCTTCCAGAATCATCTTTCTAAAGCACAGGTCCCATGTGTGTCTCTCTCAGGGCTTTATAACTCTTCTGTGGTTCTCTCTCACCTTCATGGTGAAGTCCAAACTCCTGTGCCTATCTCCATCCCCCTCTCCAATCTCTTCTTCACCTCCCATCCCTGCTCTCCTGCTCCTATCCCTTGCAGACCTCACTGCTGCTCTCAGGAAACATGCTTCTCTCTCACTCTGGACCTTTGCTTGACACATGCCCTGTCTGTCAACACCAACTTGCTAACCACAGTTAGAATTAAGTAGGTCTTTCTGTTCTGGACTCAGCTTAAACAACATTTTCTCCAGGATATACTTGTTCCCATGCCTGCTAAAGTCCCTTCCTCTTAATACCCCATAACTGACTCCCACTGCAATGCTTCTGATCCTGAATCACACTAAATAGTGCAACATTTTCCCCTTTTCTCTCACCCAAATGGACCCAAACTTCCCTGATTTGGGAAGTATGTGCCCATATATGGCTTGGAAGTCACTGACCTTCATTATGAGAAGGTCAGTCCTCTTAGCCACTTTCTTCATTTTTCTGGTGCTCAAAAAGAAAGCGACTTGGTGTTTGTCTGTCTTCTTCATTCCCTGCCACTTGTTCATTTAGTTTCCAACAATGCCAGACCAGGCCCAGGCTGGGCACTTGCTGTAACCATAGGACTTAGTTCAAATTTAGTGCATTGATTTGTTTCCATTACATTTGTTATTATCTATGGTATTCTACTTATGAAAAGCAATACAAGTATGTCTCATGTATGTACCAGTCTCCTTTATAAAATGAACCTATACTAGTAAAAGATGCAAATTAATATTTTAAAACTTTGGCAAAAAACTCTTAGAGTGGTGAATACAGCAATAAATGCATGCCCACATACACACATGCAAACATATAGGCATGTACCTGTGAAGGTGGCCCTGAATAATAGAAATCCTGTCATTCATGCAACTTCATCCTTGAGTCATGAGACCTAGAATACTGCTGTGTTTGCCACTAACTATCTATGCTACTAGGAGAAAAATCACTTTTCTAATTCTCAGTTTACTTGCTTTTAAAAAGAAGAGAAAAAAATTAAAGTATATTTTCATTCAGTATGAAAATAACATCACAGAAAAGGAATTTGCAGGGGGACTTATTTGAGATCTCAGAAATCTAAGATGCATAGAGGTTAAGTGACTTACCCAAAGTCACCCTGCAATTTAATGAATTGCATCCCCAATTCTGACACTCTTCTCCCTGCATATTCCCTTCTCCAAATAAACTTCTGTCAAATTAGTTACATTGTATTAAAAGAGAACACCTACATATACAATATATATATATATAACTCTCTTAAAGGAAAAGCAAATAAGAAAAGGATAAAAAAAAGTATTCGTTTTCAGATTGTTAACACTATTGGATAGGGAAGTAGTGTACCTGAAAGCCCAGAAAGCACACTACAGGTTTTCCACGATGTTGCAATTCTGTCCTTGTTCTTTATTTAGATTGAATACAAGAAGCCAGGAGGGAAGTGACCCACAGAAATTCAGGGATGAGGAATAAGATAAAAAAGGTAACAAATTCACCTTTGGCTATGATATAATAAATAGAGACCAAATCCAATGACCACTTCACTTTCTGTGGATCTTGAGAAAAAGAACATCAACACAATTCCAAGGGAAACTGCCCCCATTTTCAAAATGAAAATTTCAAAAACTTTTAAAGCCTAAGCAAGCAATTTACATATAGGATATAGTAATTGCAATTATATAGTATAATGTTTTGCTCATTAAAAAAAAAAAGTCTTACCCTTGTCTTTGGAAGCACACTGAATATTTATATCTGGTTAGAGGCAAATTTACCATATTCACAGATGAATCAAAACACACAGAATTAGAAAAATGTAATCAACACTTTCAATGAAATGTAAGGTAGACAGACATAACACCCTTCACATACATGTGTGTGTCTGTGTATGTGTTTATATACATATATGTCTATTTACATGTGTATTTGCAGCAAATGAGAAAGATCTGGCTGAACAGAAGTTCATGTGAGAAGATGGAGAGGCTTTAAGTGATGATAAAGCTCAATGTGAGCCAAGATTAAGATATGCATGCTGGAGAGGAGAAAACCCTCAACACAAACGTAACATGCAGCATTATAGTACATTAATTAAAATAATATCTCTTTGTATTCTTCACCTGCCGGCCAATGACAAAATTCTGGTGAAGCTCTGGGAACCTCACTTTAGGAGGAATAACATCAAATCTGGTCAAAGGAGAATGATCAGTTGGTGGGAAAGGGAAAGAATCTGTAACCCGAGTCACATTGGGAATGGTTCATAGCAAGGGTTCCAGGACCAAGCAAGCCTTCTTCAAATACAAGATGTGTAACTGTTCTGGAATGCATGTGCCCCTGACCATCTCCCAAGAATGTTGTTGAAAGGACTTTGCATGGGAGATTAGACTGGCTAGCCTCAACCACAGCATTCCTTCCTCCCAGCTCGGAGATTTTATAGCTTGTGGTGGGAGAAAAACGGCATCTATTTTACATGGTAATGGATTAAATAATTTCATTTCCTTCCTAGGAAAAAAAAAATACTTTCTAGAGTACAGCATTTGACAACCAAGTCCCCAAGAGAAAAATGTGCCTATGTGTAGACAACCTTGGTGACCAGAAGACATAACAACAACTCCACGCACCCCTTCCTTCCCAGCCCACCAAATGAGCAACAGGCAATCAGCCCAAAGAGCTAGAAATAAAGGGCAGATGGTCTCATAGTCAAATCTAAACTGATGGACCTCAGGTGGAGATCCTGGTTGCCTGATCTCCTTATATGTACACACTGCTCAGAGCAAGGGTAGACCACTCACATCAGGATCACTGGAGTTGCTCACCTGACATGCCTGTTCTTGAGACATATCCCTGGCCTACTGAACCAAAATTGTAAGAACTAGTAAATTCATGTTCAACAAGTTCCTCAGATTATTCTTATACACACCTGAGAACCCCCATCTTAGATGGCTCCTCACATTTTAGTGTGCATTCAAATCACCTGGAGAGCTCACAAGAGCTAGAGCTCTATGTCTTAGTGGGGCCCAAGAATCGGCATTTCAAACAATCTCACAAGTGAGGCTGATGCTGATGGTTTTTGGAAAAACTTTAAGTTCACTGCCTTAGAGAATTCCAGATTCCACTAAAGAACTCAGTTAGTAGCCAGGGACGGTGGCATATGCCTGTAATCCCAGCAACTCTGGAGACTGAGGCAATCAAGTTTGAGGCCAACCTCAGCAACTTAGCAGGGTCCTGTCTCAAAATAAAAGATAAAATGGATTGAGATATAGCTCAGGGGTAAAACACCCCTATGTTCAATCACCAGTACCCTCCCTGCCAAAAAAACCTCAGACAGGATGTTAGGTAGCTCCTAAAATGATGCCCAATGGTGTCCCACATCCTGGGGTCCATGCCATTGGTAACCATTCCCCTTTGTGTGGGCTGGTTGTAGTTACTCACTTGTAACTAATAGAATAGGCAAAACTAAAGGGATGTCGCTTCTGCAATTTGGTCATAAAAAGACAGTGACTTGGTTCTCTCACTCACTCTCACTCCAGTTTTTCTCCCTTGCTTACTCTGAGGAAGCAAACTGCCATGTTGTAAACCTCTGAACGGAGAGGCCCTCTGGGCAGGTGACTGTGGGCAGCATCTGGCCAACCTCTGGCCATCCACCAGTGAGGAACAGGCTCCAGCCAACAACTACACAGTGTACTTGGGAGCAGGCACCTTGACTGCAACCTGTGAACCACCCTGAGCCACCCTCAACCACTTTTAAGTCACACTTGGATTCTGCCCCATAGAAACTGGGAGGTGATAAATGTTGTTTCAATCCATGCGGTGTTTTAAAGATAATTGACAAGAGCTGTTTTGAAATCAGTATGGCACCTTGGTCTTTAGCCCATCCTTCAACCTATTTCATTTGTGCCCACCATAAAGATGACAAAAATGTGTGTGTAAATATAAATAGTCAATATGTAATGATGTACACTATTTACATATAGTTTATGTCATGATTTTCTTAATGCTCAGTTTTTAAGAATTGGCTTTTGAAAAGTTTGTGGGGGTCTCTGGGACATTATGTGGGAGCATGGCCTCCGGGCTGGATGGAGTTGGTGAATTCCAGTCAGATCTCACCTGCTGTGTGCTTGACCTGGCCACTCTGAGGTAAGATTCTGTGATCTTAGTGGGTTCACTCCCACAAGCCTGAAGAGTGGCACCTCCTTTGGTTTTGAAGAAAGAAAGGAAACTGTGGGTTCCTCCACTGGCAAGTGGCGGGATCTGTCCCTGAGAAAACGGGTGAAGAGCACATCCTCCAATCTGTCTGCCTTTTCACCAGCGTGCTGCCTGATTTCCTCACGAGGGAAGGAAGGAAGGTTCCCAGGGGGCGAGGTTTCTCATTTTCTCCAGAATCACATGTCAAGAGGGTCCATTTCAGAGGTTGTGTGGTAGTGCCACAGTCACCTGGAGAAGGCTCCAGAGCAAAGCCCTGAGCCTGGACTTCCCACCGCAGCTCCATCATCAGCGCCTTGTGTGGCCCGGAATGATTCCCTCTCCCTCTGGGCTCCACTCTTCTCATTGTAAAATGAGGAGGCTGGGCCAGGGGGTGACTCAGACCCTCCTGATTAGGACCTAAGAGCCTACGGCAAGGAAGCAGCAGTTGTCCACACCAACTGCTCAGAGATGAGACAGCTTTCCTCAGAGGGCCAGGCCCCTGCCACTCAGCCACCATGCCCTCTCTGAGCAGCACCCCAGAGGACTGTCCTGCCACAGGGGGCTCTGGCAGATGTTGTCCAGCCTGCTCCTAATGGTTTCCTGCAGCTCTTCGTCACCCAGCAGGACAGCTGCTGCCAAGGCCAACAGGAAGTACTCAATGGCATCATGGGTATCCTAAGCCCATAGTATGGGGGGCAAAAAAGAAACAGCATTAGCGAACACTTCCAGGACAGACTGGGAGGCAGTGCTGGAACACTAGCTGCTCTTCTGCTGACATCCCTTTCCATGTCCTGGTTCCTCAGGACAGCTCCTCCCCAACGCCACTGTGGTCCCATGGACACTGCTCATCACAGTCCCCCTCCTCTGCAGGCAGAGGTGGCATCTGACCCAGGCTCGGCCAGTCATGACACATCATTGCCCTGGATGCAGTGCTTCAAGGGCCTGTCCATGGCCCAGCCTGACCTACACCATTCCCCAGGAATCTTCTGTTTGAACCAACAGGGAAAATGGTCATTCATCCTTTTGGACTCGGGCTTGAGCCTCCTAGTAGCTAGAGGGAAAGGAAGCCAAGAAACACAGAGAAAGGAAACATAAGAGCCAAGGCCTACAGAGGGAGATAAGGCAATCCATGACGATGCTGGAGTCTACCAGGACCCAGAACTGCTGAAACTAAATCTATGCCTCAGTTCTCCAGATATTTACTAATGAATCACACATGCTGCTTAAGGTTGTTTGAGTTGAGCTCTTCCCTTTGCAATTCCCTTGGTTGGTTCAATCAGATCGTACACTCTATCCCTGAACCTTGCTGCATGACAGAGATGAGAAACTGATGCTTCTTTTGGGTGAGACTCACAAAGAGATGCCGGGTTCTCAATAACCCTCATCAGTCAATGATAAATTCAGGCCAGAAATGAAGTCTGGTGCATAGAAAGGAACAGCAGGGTGGCCCTGAAGCTCCCGTGAGTCACACATAGGTGAGAATCAGAATTGAGAGATAAAGGATTGCACTGGGGAGGACAGGGACCTCTAGTAAGGGAAAGCTGAACTTGGGGACATAGTTCTAGGGTCAGAGTTGTAACACAGAATTGCAGACTTTCAACACAATTTAAGAAGTAGCTGGAAAAATAAGTTCATTCAACTCCAGCCCAGCAAGCAGGATGATAGGGTTAAAGCCTTCTTAGGGCCTAAATACTCTTATAATTCATGGGTCCCATCCTTCATTTTCTCAAATATACTAATATGCACCCACATTTCTCATGAAATAATTTTGTAAACCTTCATAAAAATGAGTGGCAGTTGAGCTATGAGATTTTGTGGACATACAGTTAAGTAGGAATTTTGATTTTTATTTTGGAGCTTTTAGTTTGGGGGGGTGTTGTTTGTTTTTGTTTTCCTTGCAGGTGGCAGGGCTCACCAATCTTGTAAGGCCCTCCAGGGATTCACAGGCACTAGGCTATGTGCCTAGAGTTTCTGATAGATGAAGAAGTCCTAGGAGTTATAGCAGAGCAAGGAGAAAGAGGTGCAATCCTTCTCCTCAGCAAGGTAGAAGCTCTTTTGAGGTCTCCGTGGGGTTTAGTGGAAAGAGCCACTGTGTCCCCTGTGGAACCATTCCCTATAGTGAGCCAGGACTCCTCATCTTGGTCCCTGTGGTCCTCTCAACTCCACCCCCAAATGTTCCTCGCTATCTTTGGGTCAGGGAAGGGCTTGGAAGTCTGGCTCTTACCTTCAGCTGGTAGAAGGTGAGTTGGCCCAGGCGACAATACACCTTAGCATAGTACAGCGCCTCCTTGGGACTCTGCAGCCATGGTGGGCAAAGGGACAGAGTCTTTAGGTAGCAGTCCTCAGCCATCTCATACATGTGTAGTGCGTAGTACACGGTAGCTAGGCGGTGAAAGGCCACCAGCTCCTGCTTCTGATCTCCTAGGAATTGGAAGACTGAGACAGATACCCTGTGGCCAGCACTTCACATCAATTGATCGTGCATTCATTCCGTAAGACTTTCTGAAGCTACTAGAGGCCTGGGGCAGAGGAAATAACACAGAGGAGGCTCCTGCCTGCATGAGGCTTCTGATCTAGTAAGACACAGGTATTCCTTAAAAAATTCCACAAACAAATATAAAAATCGCACCTGTAGAGTGCTGTAAAAGAAAACGTGGGGGTCTCTGAGGGTAACCAAGTAGAGCGAGTGTGCTGGTCAGGGTTTGGTGGGATGATTCCCTAAAGAAAACATTCTCCTTATTGCAAATGACACTGTCGCTCAGGATTGTGTGGCAGAATTATTTCTAAACCTCTGTAATGGATTTCACTGAGCAGCTAGGAATTCCTTATGATGAATAGCTTTATAACAAATGTCTTCTTCCCATAAAGCCTCTTCAGAGGGCTCACTTGGGCTGCTACCAATAGCAGCCACTCCCTGGCTCCTTGACCAACTCTCAGTCTCACATACACTACAGAGACCCATTCACTTAACAACCCTGGTTTCTAATGGGCCTGTGATTTCTTGTTTGGGGTTTTGGTGAGTTGATTGTCTTAATAACTAACCTCTGTAATACAAAATAGCCCTTTATAGGGAACAAAGGCTTATCATTGTATCTTTGGAATATGTGCCAAGTGGCTATTGAATGTCCCCTAAAAACATCACTTTGAAGCTTCAAAGGACCAGAAGTCAAAACTAAAAGACAAAGTGCAAAGGAGAGAAAATTCTCTGACATGGAAAAATCCAGTCACACAGAAGCACATGTATAAGGCGTGTATACCATCTCTCTTCAGCCCCTGTCTGTGAGGGGTAAAGTGTTCAGACAGAGCTGCCAGGGGGCCCCTAAGTCCTTCCTGAGATTAGCAGATAGTTATTTGGATGAGGTTTCTGCCATATAAAAATATTAGCAAGAAAACAAGAGCAAGAGCTTCTAAGTGCAATTAGACACAATAAAGTCCACTATCATTCACATCAGATGCCCTTGAAAGTGCTCACAAGTGCCTTCAAAAGCCACCACCAAAGACTCCACTTACCCCTAGGTCTACTCAGGTCCTCTTAATCAGACCTGCTTTTCCTCAAGCACTAACATTCAAGACAAGGTTTCTTTTTTACTCTGCCTTTTCTGTTTCAATGACTTGTTTCAATGATTCTTTCTACTAGCTTTTGCTGCAAATGAAAGCTATTCCAACTATGTTGTGAGTTAGGCTTACATTTCTGTTCCATGGGAAAATATGCTTTTGACATCAACCAATTAAGAATTCAGAGCAAAGTCTTTGGGTAATGAGGGCTTTGTCTATGCATGGGATAAAATACCATTTAATTTACAGCCGGAAATCGTACTGACTGTAATATATGATGTGTGTGGCAGAGGTAACCCTAACCATGAACTCTCATGCCTAGCACTGTGCTACAGCCTTCATGTGGATTACCTCTGGTTTTCATAACAACTGCTCAGGTTGGCACTGTTTTTAATCTTGCCTTGCTGATAACAAACTTAAGGCTCATGGAAGCAGATGCTTAATTAAGTTTCCCTGGCAGTTAGACCTGGGATTTGAACCCATGGAGTCTGAATCCAGAGCCAATGCCTATGCTCTATTATCCATGCCTGACCAGTGTTTACCCCTCCCAATTTCATGAACCTGGTCATTGGGACCACCTACCTGTGACTATGCTTAGCCTGGCAGCCAGTGTGGCAAATTCCAAAGCCTTCTCGTAGCCCTGAAGGCTGATCTGCAATTCCGTCAGCTTGTTGAAAATGCGGAGCTCAGTTCTCAGTGCCTTCATCCTCCTTGCTAAAGGAACAGCCCCAACCTGAGGACAGAGGCACAGGGAGCTTAGTCTGTGGCACATGGATTCTCAAGAGTCCTGTGCTCTCCTGGCAGGGATTGAAGATGGCCAGCTGTGTTTCCATACCAGGCTCCTCTCAGCTCACTCTCCTGGTCCTTGCTCTTGGTGCTTTACCTGGATCTGAGAGGTTGAAGAACTAGAGGTCATTAGGCCTCCTACAATTGGAGCAACTGTGATTAGGAAAGGGAAGTGACTTTTCCCAAGGTGAAGAAATTCACCTCTCAGCTGGGTGTTGCATTGGTACACAGTGCTCATCTGTGAAGGACACATAAAAGTGTATGCATAGTGTCAGACAGTGCTCAGTAAATGCTCATTATGATGATACAATTGTAGATGGGCCTCTTCACCTCTCTGAGCCTCAGTTTTCTCATCTACAAAATGCCTATGAAATAAGTGAGCAGATCGATAGTCAGAGGTATGTTTCCTGTTCTGCCCACATCTAGTCCAGTGTTGGCACATCCCAGGTACCTAATAATGTCTGATGAGCAAATAACTGAACAAATGAATATCTGAATAAATAAAATTTTAGGATCAAATAAGATAAGGAGGCTACCAAACATCAGCCAGCGATGAACAACAAGAATGCATCTGCTTCATGTCTGGGCATTCATCTAGTTAGTATTATTTTTCTTTACATCAACTCTGATTTTCCTGCCTCAATCTTTGCCATAATATCTGTGAAATCGTGAACTTGATTAACAGGTGTTATACATTTTAGATTTTAAAAGAACATTTTAAGACATGACTAATAATAACATAGTAAAATGTTTAGGGCCAACCCATGCACCTCTTTACATAATCTCCCACTATGCCACCAAGAGCGAGTTGCAAACACTAGTAAACACAGAGGTATTTTAACAAACTATAAAGTTCCATGCACCCATGAGATCTGATGGCGATGGGGTATTATTCCAGGAAGGATCATTTATTAAGACTGAGAAGGACACTGAGATTATCAGATCCCTCTGCTGATTTAAGGAAAGGCAAGTATGTGAGCACTGGGCGAGGAAGGGAAGGAAAAGAAATACCAGTAAGAAAGGGTCTTAGGGACCCGGCCGAAGTCCAGTGGTGCCCCTGCGCACATTCGTGGGGGGTCTGGCAGTGCCCCGCACAGCCCCCACTCACCCGATAATACTCCACAGCGCGGTGCCGGTGACGCGTCCCATTGAAGAACACATCGCCAGCTTCCTCGTAGAGTTTGAGGGCCAGAGAGGGCTCCTCTGACTTCAAAGCTGTCTGGATGGCTGCCTGGGTGGGACAGAGAGAAGGCTTCCAGATCCCCATGGGACTGGCAGGAAGCAGATCCAGACCCCACCTGCTTTGAACCTCTGCTGAAGTTCCCCCCAAGTCGGAAATTGGACTGCACGCACAGAGGCAGAGAAGAAGGCGGCTCTGGGGGATCTTGCTCTGACATTTCCCCAACATACATGACAGATTACCTTTAGTGGTACAAGAAGTGATTTTTAATAATTATTTAAATGTATTTTAGAGGGAAAAAAAGATTAATAACAGATCAAACTAGTAGTTTCAGATAGCATTCCTTAGGAGAAAGTTAAATATAAAAAATAAGTTGAGTCAAAGAAAAGTGAGTAAATCACAGTACAGAAGACACATGGACAGAGCAAAGCCATGAGTTGAATGAATAAATGACTGAAACCGGAAATCAGGGATCTAATCCAAAAGCTGTACTTTCCGGTCAGATAGTGAAACGTGGAAAGAAAACAGATGCTCTCCAGTTCACCCCAATAGTTAGTGGCAAACAAATACCCTATCTTCCAGCCCAGTACCCCTCTCCCAGTCCCCCTCTCCCAGTCCCCAGGATCTCTTGGCATGAACACCACCCTCTCTGGTTCTAACCAGTCAATTTAGAGAGAACAGCTGCCTCCTAAAGGGCCCACGTCAGCAGATCCCTACCAACCTGCAGGTACAGCTCCACCAGCTCGTCCTCCTGCATGAGGTAGTGGAGTCGCCCAGCCCCCAGCCAGGCCTCAGCAGCCTTGTCTGTCTCCCCGAGGTCAATGAATATACGCAGGCTCTCCTTGATGCAGGTGAGAGACCTCCTGAGGGACCTAGGAGGCAGAGAGAGACCCGTGAGGTATGAGGTACCAAAACAGCTCATGATTACTCAGCACACAGGAAAAATGCTGTTCTATGAGGGAACAACCGTAACCCAGACCATCTAGAGAATCAGAGACTGATTTAAATCTCAGATCTCCTGACCTTGAGAAAGTATAAAACCTCTCTATGTCATGTTTTTCCTATCCATAGGATGGGAATGTAATGCTACCTGCCTGAAAAGGTTATTGTGAGCATTGAATGAGATAAGAGAACTAGAATGCCTAGAATAGTACCTACCACATAGTAAGCACTTGATGAGTGTTCAAATATCAGTCATCATTATTATTACTAACTATCATTATTATTATTATACTATCATTATTATTACTATCATTATTATTATTATACTATCATTATTATTACTAAAAATCATCATCATTATTACTAACCCATGCTCCCTCTATCTTTAGGCTGTACTATAATAATTTTTTTCACCTGACACTCAGTAGACACAAAATGCGTATTTATGAAATGAATCCACAAGTGAGAGACCGTAGCAGAAACTTCAAGTCATCAAAAAGGTTTCGACATTTTGGTTAAGAAGGGAGATCAAGTAGGGTGAAATTTTCAAAAAGTTGGTGCCTTAATGATGACTCTTTAATTATCTGGAAATGCTTTAATTATTTAGTACTCTTTAATGACTTGGGAAATTGTATTACATAGAAAACCCTTCCCCTGTGACAGGGATTAACGAGGGAATGAAGCATGGATAATGTGGCATTGGACAGGTTCAGAATTCCACAATGGGAAGGACAACTGGGGATCAACAAGACAGCAGTCCTCAATCCCACAGCAATTAAAGTCACCCATAGAAATTCCATGCCAGTCTGAGCCCTGGGTCTCTGGGAGTGTGGCCCAGGCACCAGCATTTTGTCAAAGCTACAACAAGACTCTATTGTGTACCCAGCGGTGAGATCCAGTCCAACTCCTTTATTTTATAGAAGAAACAGACCCAGAGATGGAAGGTGACTTGCACAAGGTTGCACAGCACATTAGAGGAAGATCCAAAACCAGAGTTCCCTTCTTCTGAGTCCCAGCCCAAGACTCATCCCACACTGCCCATGATTCTCAAAGCATGATTCATGGCCCAGCTGCACTGGCCTTACCTGGGAAGCTTCATGAAACCACAGACAGACAGAGTTGCCTCAGACTGACTGAATCAGAATCATTACAGTTGCAATCCAGAAATCTAAATTCCTAAGACACACCCAGTTTCTGCTCAGGCACACCAAAGTTTGAGAACCACTGCACTAAACCACACATATCCTTCTAGAAATGAGGATCAGCATCAACCACATCTGTGGACACTGAGGAAGTTCTCATTGAGACAGGAAGTTAACCACCTGCTATATAGGTTTGATGTGGCTTGTCCCATGAAAGTGCAAGTGTTGGAAGCTTGGTCTTTAGTGTGGCCTTTAGGAGGTGGGCTTAGTCCAAGGTCACTGGGTCACTGGGGGGCATTGCTCTCGAAAGGGATGACCTAGCTCACCTGTAGGACCCACGAGAGTGAGGGCTTATCAAAGCGCAAGACCAGCCCCTCCTGGCACCCTGGCTTCCTGGCTTGCCATGCTCTCCTGCCATCCTGATGCCATTAGCCGTAAGGCTTTCACCAGAGCTGGGCTGATAATGACCATTCCCTTGAACCTCTAAAATTGTGAGCTAAATAAACCTCTCTTTTATTTATCACCCAACCTCAGGTATTTTGTTGTAGTGATGAAAAATGGATTCGTACACTCCCTCATCACAGACAACTCAGTTGCCAGATCCCTTCTCCACAGTGTCAGAGGCAAGCCAGGAACAGATGGCCTTGGACAGATGAGACCTCCATTGTTTTCAGCAATAAGGCAGCTGTTGGCCTTCTGAAGAGAGTGCCAAGGATTTGGCCCATATAAGAACTAGAAAGAACCCAAGATTTCCTTGATCCCTTGTCCTTGAAATAAGATGTACTGCCATCCAGGAGGGGCACTGACCTCTCTCAAGTGTTGGAGTGTCAAATTTGTTGCTGAGACTGTTCTGAGAATTGAAAAGCTCCATGCAATGCTGAGGTGGCACCGACCCCCCTGGTTGAGCTGTGATAACCACAGGTCTCTTTCGCTGTAGGGAGTCCTGTCTGTTCTCCCCTGCTTGGTACCCCAGGACCTTAAGCAGGATTAAGAGGTTTGGGCAGATCTGGCCTCCAATGCTCTCCCCACTCTCCCTGGAACAGTTGATGAAATCAGGACCCATAAATCTAAATCTGATCCTGCTTCCTGCTGTATTTTTGTTTGTTACCACTTGCTGTCCTGGGATGTCCTTGGGCTGAAGTTGTTTTCTCCAGACCCTTAGGGAGCAGCCAATTCACAGAGCAGGCATTTGTTTCCTTGACTGTGGAAGAAAAGAGATTTTTCTTTCCAAGAAACGTCCCACTGGAGGATGACAAGAATAATGGGGATACTCACACATCCAGACCACAGGCAGATGGAGGGTTTTCTAAAGACACTGCTTCTCATTAAGAAGTACCTCTGATCCCTGATCTCTGACAAAAAGAAAAAGTGCCTGTGTGGTCTGAACTGGGGAGCTGGTCTCCAGTTTGTTCACTCTTTCCCCCTCCTCTCTCCCCACTCCGCTATTTTATATCTGCCAGTGGCTGTACTGTGTCACTCACCAGCTGAGCCTCTGGCTTGAAATGGCTCAGTATCCCAGTTCCTCCAGCCATCACCTGCAGACTCTAGATCTAGTGAACCTTTCCAATCAAAAGAAGCCAAGAACCCAACTCATCATGTGCCCTCTTGGAACGTGCATGCCCAGCCACGGTATTTATCCCCCCTCCTTTCCAGTTCTGATTCTTCTCTTTTTCTCATTTTTCCTTTCCCCAAGTCTCTGGGAATTCAATCCTTTTTCTTTTGCCCTTCTTGAGCATCATCCATGAGCCTGTGGCCAAGTGACCTCAACACACCTGCATGTAATTCCAGGGACCTTCTACCAATCCCTCAGGGTTTCCCAAATCCCTGCCCAGCCTGATGAGTTTGTCTGACCTCTGACCAAAAGCCAGCCACCACTAATTGCTTCTGTCCTGTGCTGATAATAGGGACTAACAATTTCTGAGGGCTGAATCTTTGCCAGGTGTTGGGACATTCGCTTTTAATAGACATTTTCTCATTCACTCCCCCTAGAAATTTGAAGCCAACAAGATTTTTTTGGCTCATTTTTGCAAATAGAGAAATCTCAATGGGATTTTTTTTTTAGCTTACACAAATTTTCATGCTCATTTTTCTGAAGCTTTATTTTGAGCTCCCTGCTCCTTTCTTATCATCATAATAATGGCAGTATTTTTAACTGAAATTTATTGAGCATGTAGCATTCACGAGGTGCTTTGCATGTAAAATCTCATTTAATCATACAACAATCCTAAGAGGTCAGTACTATTGGTATGTTCATTTTACCAAGGGAAAAGTAAGGCTCAGAAAGACTTAGGACTTAGTAATAAACCCTATTTAAACAAACATCTAACCCGAATAGTCTGACTCCACACTCAAGCAGTTCTTAGTTTCCAGATATCAGCTGTAGGGAGACATTTTTTTTTTCTTTTGTCACTTCAAAAACCCTGAAGTTGCTAAGAACATAGTGTTTTGAAACCCTAAACAAAGTTTCCTTATCTGCAAAAGTGGGACAGTAGCATGCATAACAGCCCTGAGATCAAACGAGGACACAGCAAAAGCAATCATTTCCTTCCTTAGGATAACAGAAATGCTAGGGATTAGTCATATCAGTTATATTGAAAAAACAAATGTTGAAGCAGATTTTTTTTCAGTTTCAAAGAAATAAGAAGCATGAGGATAAAAATAAAAGCCAGGAGCAATAGATTCTAGGCTGCTATTGTATTCATGTGAAAAAGGTCACTCATTATTCCTTTAAGTCTCAGTACATGCAAGGCATTCCCTCTTTCTCAAAATAATATTATATACCTCCTTTCTGGAACTTACCACAGTTTATATAATGACTTTGGTGACTTTTTATGCAAGCAGTGACTTTAGGGAATACAACTCCTTGGTCCAGCTTCTAGCCATAGTAAATGCTCAATAAATATTCACTGAATTGAATCAGTAGAGTCATAAAGGTTTCATGAACCCCACCTGGCTCAGATCTAGAGCAAAGTACCAGTCTGAATTGTTAACCAAAGATGGGACCCAGGAAGACCCATCCCAGTGAGAGACTGAAAATTTCATTAATTATATTCTGTAATTGTCACCCAGGCAGCAGAATGGACATAATAATGTACTGGAACAAAAGACAGCAGAGTATACCAAGGCAAAAACCTGAAGACTGAGCCAACATCTGAAGCATCCACTTGCCCTCCCTACCACCTTCCATCTCTAAACACTAGGGAAAAATCTTTGAAAGAGAAGGAATTAAAATCATCACAAAGGCAGCATGGACGAGTAAATACCACCTTAAATTGAAAATTCAGAGGTCTGAGCTGATGCCAGTGAAACCAAGAGGTGAAATCTGTGTGGACCCTCTGCAGCAGGCAAGGGCAGACCTGATGGGAAGTGGGCAGGTTCATGTATGCATTTCCACCAGCCTTCACTATACAACCTGCTGAGCATATCATCTAACTAAGATGAGGATTATTGGCCAAGCAAGCAGAAGACACAAAAAGTACTAGCACTCTTGGCGGGTGTGGTGGTACACGCTTGTCGATCCCAGCAGCACAGGAGGCTGAGGCAGGAAGATCGAGAGTTCAAAGCCAGCCTCAGCCATTTAGCAAGGCACTGAGCAACTCAGCAAGACCCCGCCTCTAAATAAAATATTTTAAAAGGGCTGGGAATGTGACTTAGTGGTTAAGCATCACTGGGTTCAATCCCTGGTACCAGAAAAAAAAAGAAGAAGAAGAAGAAGAAGTGTTGTAGACCAGGAGGTGGTCAACTATGGCCCATGAACCAAATATAGCCTTATACTAGCTTTTATAAGT